CTTAGGGCAATTGTTGATGATCGTCCACAATGCGTAAGAGTGAATGGCTTGTCATTGTGCTGGGCCTTGAATGCCTCCAAAGATTGAAATGCCTACACGACATGATCAACAACAAGTGAACATGCAAACATATACAAGGCCGAAGTCTCATGGCTGTAGCAAGGAAAGGACTAGGAAGAGGAGAGCATACCATGTCCCCAACGCCGAGACCACTCACGGGTCGTGCTTCAACGCTCTCAAATGTGACGCAATACTTGTTGCACTCTTGTTGGATGAACAACCACCTCTTTTGAATCGAGCCGATGCCAAGGTTGCTTGTAATTTGGTAGGGCTCAAACATCTTCCTTTCATGGAATGTTTTATGGACTCTCGTCCAAAAAACAATGCCCTATTGTTACGCGCCGGTCCTCGGATCTTGGCTAATCTCCATCCAAGCTTGGCAAATCAACTTGTCCTCATCTTGTGTATATGAACCCGTGCGAATGCTCTTCCTCTTCTTTTGTGCTTCCGCTCTTTGGGTGAGCTCGTCGATGAACAATGGCTCGCCACTAATATCAACGTCAATGGTTTCTTCTTCATCACCAACACCTTCGACATAGATGTCATCGTCTTCATGCCACAAGTCACCATGGTCGTAGTCATCACGGTCGTCGGCCTCTTCATCGGGGACGTACTGGGCGCGGCCATCCTGTCTTTGGGTCTCCTCGGGGTCATAGGCACGGCCCTGCCCACCCTCGAAGATCACGTCCTCCATGTACTGGTTGTAGAAGGGGTTGTCGACCGATGTCGTTGGTGTTGGCATTCCGTCAAACAAGACGCGGGGGGCCGGCATGGTGCGCGTGCTTGCTTTTTTTGCATCTCGACGGACGGCCGGCCACCGATGTTGGACCCAGGCGTGACGTTGAGGTCGATGACAGCCGCGGGGCGCGGTGTGGACGGCGCGAACAAGCCGACGTCCGGCTACCCCGAGAAACGGGTCTGGCCGTCGTGCCTTGGCGGAAGAAAACCGGGCGACATGGGCGTGGTCTGCGACGTCGGCGACTGGCAGTGCGGAGGCCGGGCGACTGACGAGCCTGTGCTCGCCGGGCCAACGGCCGCTGCAGGGAAAACGGCCGGACGGCCCATGCCAAGCATGATGAGGGCGTGCGCTTTCTTGACGATGTCCTCCTTCTCGTCGACCGCGGCCTTGTGCCGAGCGGCCTCCATCGCATCGCGTTGGGCGATGAACTTGGCCGCGGCGGCATTGACCTTTTGACCTTGACGACCGCTCTTCGTTCCCTCCTCTTCGCCGATTCGGCGTCCAACTTGGCGATCTTTTCCGGCGTGCACTCCGACAGCGACTTCCTTGGCGCCTTGGCCGCCTTCTTCACCTTTTCGGACGGGTCGACGGCCAGGCCGCCGGAATTCCGCCGGTTGTTGGCCATGGACGGGGGAGGGAGAGGGGTGGCGGGAGGGACGTGCGAGGGTTTGGTGGGAATGGCGCCAAATGGGCGGGCGAGGGGTTTTGCTTTGTGCCACCGACAGGCGGGCCAGGAGAGGACAAGCGCGCGCGTCCCGCCCATCCGCGTGTTGTCCGTTTCACCCCAAAACCGGCGCAAACTTGAGCCAGGGATGGGTCGAAAGCGGACACAAAACGGACAAAAATCCGTTTGCGCCCACGCGCTGGGCCATCTGGTCTGTCTGTTTTACCCCAAATGGACAGGGGCGGACAGAATAAGGTCGCGCGGTGTCGTTCGCCTTAGGTTTGGCCATGAAAATCGCTGGGTGAAGTGTTATTACACAATAGGTTTTTTTTAGTGTATACTATCATAACGACATACTCGTCCCGACGGGCCGGCTCCCCTTGCCCAGTTTTCATACGAAGTCGACCCATCAGCCTTGAAATTTTGGGCGGACCAATGTCCCAATGGATAACGTCGGCTCATTCCCATCTTGACGACCAATTAGTAAATCCACTCATTCCCCCAAACTTCAGCCCAACGGGCACTCCAAAAGCGTGAATGCCTCAGAAGCAAGTAAATACTCAAAAATGGACGCCTCCACCAAGTGCAGGAAATCTGGAACATATATCTGATGCCCTACATGCTGAAACACTAGCACTTTTAAACGCGATTAATGCAACAATCAACATGGGGTGTCACCAAGCCATCTTTGAGATGGACTCCAGGGTACTGAAACAAGCAATCTCAAATCAGGACTACGACCTAGCGCCATTTGGAGCTCTGTTTCAGACGATAAAATTTTAAATGAGAGTCGGTTTTGATAATGTAAATCTTTATGTGTGTCCAAAGTCTTGTAATAATGCAGCGCATGCCTTAGCTGCACATGGAACTAGTTTAGGGAATGGCAGTTATGAAATCTGGTTAGGCCAATTCCCTAATGTTGTAATAAACTCTGTAGCTGGTGATTTAACCAGCAGTCTTAACGTAATGGAATACCATTTTTTTCACTTCAAAAAAAAAAAGCGTGAATGACTCGTTGCTCAGGAACAAACACGTACTTGGTACCAACAATTCGTAGAATTGCGAAAACATAAAATCAAGCAAGCTCAAAAAGAAAAACATAAGAACGCAACTGCGTGCTCACTCAAATCCTATAAAATTTTGTTTGGACTCAAGTTTGCTTGATTGCATCACCCACCCAGAAAATAAAATCTTTGAAGTATGAATAGAGAGAAGCTCTAGCACTGACGGTGGATGAAGCTACGGCACCTACTTTGGCGTAGCGCACTAGAAGCATCAGAAGCCATGGCTCAGGTTTGCTACCTCAACTGCTCAGGTCACCATCTGAAGGCCAAAGTCGAAAGGCCACGGTGAAAAGGATGCAGGAGAACATGCAGCAGATACTGGCCGGGAGGTCTGCCTGCTCCTACCGTTTAACTTCAAAGACGTGCCTCTTTGGGAGTCTCTGTAATATGGACTTCTATTAAGTTGTGGGGCCTGTGTTGAAGCCGTGCTGGAGTTTCAGCCACAATCACTATGCTAATAGAGAGCGGCAAACATTGGTCGGCAGCAGCAGCCCACACCACCCCACCCAAACAAACCAGCAAAGCCGTCACCAAGTAAGCCAAAACCCAAGAGCAAGTTCTCTGCAGCAGCAATGGAGAACACATTTTTGGGCAATGCGAATCACCACAAAGTTCTGATCCAATGGAACATGCAGTTCACTCCAGCGGTCGCTCGGATCACTACCACGAGCTGACTTTGAAACATCTAGCACAACTACGACGAAGCTAGCATTACAGTACAGTAGATAAACACGCCGTGGTGGCCACAGCATAAGTTAACAGTACCCACACCAAGACGGTGGCCAGATAGCAGTTGGAAATTTTAGAGTAGCAGCAGCGGGGCACACCCTCTCAAGCAAGACCTGAAGCAATTGAAGCTCAGGATAACCTCTGCTTCTTCCTAGCAAGGTTCTTGAAAATAGATTTTACATCGTCAGATGTAACAGGTTTTGATGGATCAAAGGATTCCTGCTCAAAGTTACGAATAAACACCCATCAGGTACATGGACGAAAGAAATGAACCATAAATATGCATAAACTACACAGTACAACTTAATAAGACAAGGAAAAGGACACAATTTGCCATCATGTTGAAATAAAATTGTAGTTAACATAAATCACATGGGCAGATATGAACAATGAAATGAGAATTTCTTTAAAAATGTGAATGGCAATGCAGATATATACATATCAAATAAATTCAAATTCAAATATATTGATCCAGATAATCAAGAATATATTTATATGCAGAACAACAAATTAGTGAAATATGCATGCAAATTTGAGACTGCAAATGAGTTGTGCAAAACATGTTGGATACTTGCATCCCTGTTAGAGAACCCCTGATCCTACCATGCAGGCCTGTGGGGGTGCATTCAGTCCTATGACGCCAGCAACATTTAGCACCAACCCCTGGTGACACTTTCATGTATGTCACAGATGACCCGTATCCAAGGGAGGTTGGCTGTGTCCCGAATGTTCCATTTTTGTTATACTCCTATGCATAAAGTATCTAACTTCTCTAAAACACGATATTGAAAACAACCCATGTTTGATCATACACATGTTGTAATGATATTATTATTTTTACCAAAAAATTGTTGCCTATTTCCTTGAAGATTATTCATATGACTACACATTGGATCCATGCATGGTGCTTACTCATCGTCTAGAAACACATGATTCTTTGTTCTCTGGGTGCAGCCACTTGATGGTAGATCAGACTATTCAACCAATTTGGATGGCAGTCTAAGTATATGTGATGCAAGAGCTGTGGCATAAACTCTACTGTGGTCTTTATCGCCTTTTAGAGTCTGTTTTTCTTGGTTTTCACTTCTACAGTTCCAATACTTTGCAATAAAGATGGCTGAGTGCATCAATCGATGCAGAGGCTAGAGGAATTCCCTCCTTTTCAGAAGAAAAAAGTCTGGTAGATGCGGCAGTGCTGCCTAGCCTGATCTTATTTGATACCATGTGCGATGAAGCATATTTGTTGAAGAAAAATAATTTTATCTTTATAGATTGACCTGGGCATGTACGCTCTGAGATCCTAATTAACACCGCTTAGTGTATAATTCACATTTCACCATGAGAAAAATTGTCAATAACCCATTCTGCTATATTTAGAATAAGGAGCAGAACTTCTAAGTTTTAACCAGAACTATATGAGAACTCACAAACTCAGACCAAATCAAAAAAAGAAACTGGATGTCGGCCATGTAATTAGGTATTGGTAATAAAGCCATGCCACCATGGTTGCTGCCACGTTATTTGATTAGGTATTTGTTGCAGCACTTACTTTTAATTAACCAGTAACTAGATCATGTTGCAAACAATAACTGACTCTATTATATAGCCAATTGACAATGACAATGGTGATTTAAAATCAGAGATTTACTGTGATGAATATAAACTATTGTTATTGTTGTATCGCTAAGAAGCTAGGAGTACTGATGGACTTTGAACTATGCTGACCTTGAACCCTTTCTCTGTATTAGTATAGTTGTTTAATTTCGATGACTAGATAGCACAAGCATGGAGGCACACAAGCTACAGGTATCAGTGCATGTAGAGATAACCAACAACTCATGGACAAGTGAGCAACAGTCAAATAAGCAGAGAATTTTACCATAAAGGATTGAAGCTCATTTTTCATGTCATTGATGCCACTCAGAATCTCTATCTTCTGGACATGGTTAAGTGAATTGATGAAGTTAGCTTCAGCTCCTTCCTGCTGCTCCAACTTCTTCTCCCTTTTCTGCTTAGCTATCTTCTCATATTCCTCAATAGAGTCCTCCTTATCAGTAAGATGTGCAATGCCTCGTTGTGCATAGAAGTTGGTGCATGTTCCACATTTACACAGGGTCTCTCTCCAGCCTTTTGACATGAAAAAGGGCATAGTTTTCTCCAAATCAGCTGATGTTGTATTTATATCCACTCCTATCTTACAGTTGCCGCCTGAATTGTCACCCAAAATGGACTTATCTGAAGCTGCAATGTCTATTGTACGGTTCTCCTCGACAAAGGTATTCTCAATGCTTTGATGGTCTACAGGAGCACCGTTTTCATTTTTCTCAGTGTCAGCATGACCTGATGAACCTCCTTCCATACCATTTGAATTGGCAGTAACAGCTTCTGACACAGAACTCTGCTTACTAGAAGCCCAGATCGTATCAGGATAGAGTTTCAAGAAATAACAAACAGGCGAGCATTGATGACATATGAATTCTTCATACAGTGGCTCCCCTTCCTCATCCTTTGGTATCTGCAATGCAAGTTAGTCATTAAGCACTAACCACCTATGAATAACTGAAATTTTGTAGCA